GATTTAGTGAATTACATTCATTGTTTTGCATTTACAATTAAATGTCCTTTATTTATAGTGTTGTACACTCATTTGTATTAAATGATAAATTATACATTTTAATTTGACTACACATCTATATATATGAAATAATAAAATAGTAAATTAAATTTCAAAAAATTCATATTATTAACAACAAAAATATCGACAATAATACCTAGAATAAATCTAATACATATTTTCACATTTTAAAGTGAAAAGTATATATAAAAAGTTTATCCGCTTAAAACGTGGGCGAATTACCTAATTTGTGTATAAAACAAAATCTGTTTGGGATTAATGATACTATATCATTCATAAAAAAACAAAAATCTAGATCAACATTAATAGTGTTCGGAAAAATTATTTGTTTGATTGAAATAAAAAAAAAGTTGTACTAAAAACAGATTAAATATACTTAGAATCAAAATGATAAGTTTCAAAATGTAATAAAAACATCTAAATTTTGATTGGAAAGATTTAATTTTGATATGTTATTGAAATTTTAAATTTTACTTTTTTTTAATTGCTGGTTTCTTTGTATTTTTTTTATTAAAAGATCTTTTTATTTTTTAGAGAAAAGGTAATTTTCCATTTTTTTTAAAGAAAAAAAATAGATATGTTTTTTTTATTTAAAAATAATAGATATGTTTTCAATCATAACATTTAATATCATCATTATTAGTATTGTTTCAATTAATTTTTAAAAATTAAATTAAATATGATAATACGGTTTCTTATATACTATATATATACTAGATGAAGGACCCGCAAATATGCGGATTTGTGATAAAATATTTTATAACATGTGATAAAATATTTTATAAGCCGTGAAAAAATCAAATTCAAAAAGATAAAAATTGAATAAATCATCCATGGAAATAAACAAAATTAAACCGAAAATGTTGATATAAAATAATTTAAGAGTTACTCTTTTTATCTTGGTTGTTTTTTTTATTTGATTTTCAAATAATTCTTAATTTTATCATGTAATTAATTTTTTTTAGAGAAATTTCAAAAAATGCCACTTTTCAAGTGCCACTTTACAAAAATGCCACACTTTTGAAATCTTTACAAAAATGCCACTTTTTCAAAATTATTTTTTCTTTATATTATTTATGTTTGGGTTAATTATGTTCTATTAGGGTTTAGTTTTGAGTGTTTAGAGGGTTTTAGGTGTCAAAACATTTTTTAAGGTTTAGAATTTTAAGATATAGGCTTTATAAATCTATAATTAGT